TCCAAAATTCTCTTTTTGTCAGCGAGGACTGACAATGAACCTGCCTGGCCTGGGATGTCTGCACAATATGTGGCTTGAGAAGGAGGACAGGAAGGGAGGTGACAGCTGTGCTCCCAGCAATAAACTCCATTCTTCAGCCTCTGGAATGGGTCATGTGACACAACTCTGTCCAAAGATAAAAGTGATGTTTCTGAGAAAGCTTTGCTTCATGATACAGCTGGGCCCCATCTTTCCTGTTGTCCTGTATTTTCCTGCTTGAAGTTGGAATGCAGTGGCTGGAATTTGTGACCATCATGAGAGGACATCGTAAAGATCTATTCTCTGAATCCTTTAGCCATGTCTCTGGCCAAGGCTGCTAGTCCCTAGACTTCTTACGACACAAAGGGAAGTCATGTCAAAGTCTTATGACATGACTTCTTATCTTCCTTAAGCCATGGGTATTTTGGTTTTGTTTTATTTCATCATGCGTATACAAGTGAAATCCCTCATTACATACAGACACAACTGACAAGGCCCCATGTTCCCAAAGGAGAAGGTTCTGGGTTGTCCACCCACACCAATGTAGTCAGTAGGGGAAATCCCTTATTTGGAAATAACAAACTAAGTAATTAACAACCAAGTAGATTTTTATATTTAAAAATACGCATAGAAACTACGTGAGTGAAGTAATTTAGGAGGCAATGTGGATTTTTATAAATATAAATGAGTCAGTAATCATGCACACAATGTAATTTTAAAATTTAATATTCATCACAAGATGAACTAAAACATCCAGATACCACTCTTGGGGGAAAGGTAAGAAATGCTGAAAGATCATAAGTATTAGCTTGCTTGCATCATAGGAACAATGGCTCTCATTGTTCCTATGCTAGAAATGAAGACACAGTACAGGAAGAAGCCACACATGCCCGGCTCCTGCTCTCAGGGAATAAAATTCCCGCTAATAGATGAAAGAGATGGAGGGGGAAGGACCAAGAAGGAACCACCTGCTTTTATTGAACTGATTGTGTCAACATTTCTTCTCATGTAGCTGCAGCCTCTGTTTTTAACAGTTTAAAGATAAGATGAAGGGGCCCTCCCTGGTGGTGCAAGGAGTAGGGATGAAGCTATGGCCACCACAGCCAGGTTGCTGACCCACAGGGTGCAGCAGACCTCTCCTGTCCCTCCCGCTGCTCCCCTCAGCAGTGTATTTCAGTCAGTCTGCCTGTTCTGCTCCCTGCTTTGTCTCTGGTGAATCCTCTCACCCCACACACCTCTGGCCTGTACCCCAGTTCTTATATGCATAAATAATTTTTTTAAAGATTTATTTATTTGTACATACAGAACTGGGGTACAGGTCAGAGGCTCAGGGGGTGGTGAGAGGCTTCACCGGAGACAGAGCAGGGAGCAGAACAGGCAGATGGACGAAGTACACTGCTGAGGGGAGCAGTGGGCGGGTCAGGAGAGGTCTGCCGTGCCCTGGGGTCACCTCCCGGGCAGGCGGGAATCGAACTCATGCGGAAGTGGCTTTAGCTTCTCAATGCTGTGCTTTAACCCTCTGCGCCACCAGGGAGGGCCAATAAATAAATATTAAAAGAAAAAAAGATGAAAACAGGACTTGGACCCTCTCCCTTCAGCTGATTCACACATCCGGGTAACTATAAAAATTGACCTGTGTCTTCATCAGAAATCTTGGCCTTTTTAAGGAGAGAGTAGGGATGAAAGAGATGCACTTTTTGGGGTTCTTCTGCATTGTCTACTTAGACATGTGGCTTTGACTGAACGCAAGTAGCCTCAGTTTCTTTGTGCTCACCCCTCCTTCTCCCCACAATCATTTTCTCCCATTTATATCCCCAGGTAGGCCCACAATGGAGAAGGCGCCAAGGTAATTTGATGACAAGACTCAAGAACGAAAAAGCACTCCACAGGTCAGAATTGTGTTTTGGGCCCTGCAGAAGCATGGGAAAGTGGCACCCATTGCGCCCAGGAACCCCGGGAACTGACCTGGGAGAGTCACAGGTGGAGAAGGGGGGCAGGACCCTGGGGGGCAGGGACCCGTCAGGATTCTGGTGTCACAATGGGACCAAAAGCAACTGGTTCTCTCCTCAAGGCTCTCAGTCCATGGATGGATCCACGTCTTGTCAGGCAAGGTTGTGTGTTGTAGAAGGTGTGTGAGCCTGGTACAGGTGGCCCTCAACAGCTTGGATGGGCCGTAGGGGTACTGATCCTAACAGCTGAAAATCCAGGTATAACTTCAAACATTACTAGTGGCCTGTTGTTGATCCTCACACATAATACTTAACTGATACTTCTCATGTGTGTTATGTACTGTATTCCTAAAGTAGGCTAGAGGGAAGAAAATGTTATGAAGAAAATCATAAGGAAGAGAAGATGCCTTTATAGTTCTGTAATATATTGAATGGTAACCTAACTAATGCTATGTTTATAGCTACATTAATATGTACACATTTGTATGCTGGTTCATATACATTATATATGTATATAATCTGCAACATATAGAATACACACACCTATCCATATAGGTGTGTACATGTATATGTGTCCATGCATGTATATATATATGTGTGTGCATGCATGTGTGTACCTAAGGAATTCAAAATCATGCTGTTCAAGGGCCCACTGTACAGTGGAAGGAAAATCTGGACTCACGAGGGGCATATTTATTGTTTCTTCTGGGTCTACTTAAGGAGGTGATTAACTAGAAGACCCGAGCCCCAAAAGGGCCGTGTGGAGACTTCAGTCCATGGGATGCTTTGCTCCTTCTGTTGGTAACTGGCAATAGTTGGTCGTTGTAGGTTTCCCTCTCAGGGCTAATTCCATTTCTGATTAAAGCAGGCTGTGATTGAGGAAATAAATAACACCAATTCCACATTTTACTGAGATTATTCCCTTGACATCCAAGCTGGGTTAATATGCTCTACCATGATCAAACAACCCCAGTAGGCCTGAAAGGTGGGCAAGGTGAGGCCAGATATCATACTTCACTCCTTGAATGCCCGTTTAATGTGTTACTGAACCTTCAGTTGTAAGTGAACACTGCCATATTTCCCAGAGCAGTCCACCCTGTAGCACTTAAAAATTTGAAGGCAATGACTGCTTTCTTCCCATTTGGATTCCTGATTAGCCTGCTTCGGTGCAAGGGCCTCTGGGTAATGCCACCTATTAAAGCATCTTCATGCTGAGCACACATCTTCACCTGTGTGCTGTAGCAGACAGCTATCAGGCTCTTCTTTCCCCAAATCCTCAGCAGGGCAATAACTCTTCTCTAGAGTAGGAATGAGCAGCAATCCAAAGGATTCTGTTTCAAGTAAAAGGGAACAAGGGCACCCTTATCTGTAACTGACCGTCTGTTTTAAACAACCTATTTTCCTTGTGATTGGACCCTACAATTTTAATCCCATTGTTGCCTTGTAGAATCTTTCCCAGCTCTCCTTGCAACAAGTTAGACATGTGATCCAGATTTCACCAATCAGACAACATTCAAAACTGATTTCAAAGGGAGGGGGAAGGGAACACACTGTTGCAAGAGCATAGTAGTGGTGGAGGCATTGGAAGAAAGTGCCAATTTAGGCAACTGTGCAGAATGCCTGGAGGTAGCAGAGAAGGTGGGAACCATCTTATCAAACCAATCTGAGACCCTGCTTTGAGCACTGAGCCTGCAGGGTCGACCTTGAGCTCATTTCTCTGGCCTTCCTACCTGCTGTGCTTGTTTATATAAATTACCCACGGTAGATCCTTTCAGCTAAAACTTACCTGACCCTCTAAATGCACACAGACAGGTGATGGATTCCCCTTGCAAACAAGCTTAAGAAAGTGCTCCTTATAGGGAAAAGCATCTCTCTTAAATAGAGGAATACTAATCTTGATCTGGGTACCAAGGAGCCCTCCTGAGTCAGGAGATTTGCATGAACTATTCAGACTATTGCAGCTGAAACACAGGATCGCATTTACTCTCAGGACTAGCAAGCAATCGACAGCCTAGGTGGGGTTACTGTAGAAGCACTGACTTTTTCTCACTGCCTAGAGTGTCACCATAGAGCAATTTCCCAGGGTCCACAAGGATGTTTTCATCTTTGAGCGACCTATTGGAGCTTAGCATCAAGTTCTTGGAAAGAGGCCTGAGGGTTCCCATGAAGAGAAGATGTTAAGACAAAAAGCACATCTCACTTCCCCTTGGCCTGGTGTGAGTTCACAGGGCTTTAAAAGAAATTAAAAGGAGTGTATGACATCTTATATAGTTCTTTGACAGAACAAAAGCAAGATAAATCTCGGTACTGTACAAATGTGATTTCCGTAAATGAAGGAAATCTAAACATCTGGCAAGAAATTTTAAAATCTGTCAGTGTGTGAATGTCATCATAAAATTGGAATTGCTGAGTGTTACGAATTGCAAGAGCATGCTCTCTGAATGTGGAAAGGGAATCTCTTGAAGTCCTCTCCTCCCTGTGCGTGATGAAATCTTGTGATGGAGACTACTTCTCTCAGACTTCTCTCAGATGACATTTTGAAGAAATAGTGCTAATTGCTTGTCTTCAATGTACTGAAAGGGAGATTAAAATGAGGAAATGCTTCCATTAATCTGGTGACTTGATGTTTGAACCCCACGTCCATCTACCATGTGACCTCGGCCAGGTCATCAGCCTCCTCTAGCCTTCTGTCTCCTTATCTATTAAATGAGAATGAGCATTCTCAGCTTATAAAATAGTCATGAGGCGGTCAACAGTCTCGGCAAAATACCTGGTCAAGGTAAAGTCTGCAGAAATGGGAATTATAAAGTGACAACTAAGACCAGCCTCTGCTGTCAGCCTAGCTCACCTGCGGTGATGATAAGGGAGTGCAGCCTCTAGAAAAGCTCTAAGCTTCAGGATTCGGTAAGTGGCCTCTGGAAGGGACAGCTAAGACTTCAGCCTGCTTCTTTAAGGAGCACAAGGGACATGACGCTGTTTGCTACCCTCTGCTACTTGTCCTCCCATCTGGCATCGAAATAACAGAACTTCTTGCCCTTTGGGCAATGCATTGAAGCTTTTATTGTGATTGGTCACAGTGCAGGAATAGAAATCTAATTGACAAATAGCCTAACTGTAAAGAGCATTGATCTGGAAGACTTTGGGGACAAGAGTTCACTGCAAACAAGTTCGAACCAGAAGACGTTGCCTGAAAATCATAAATTTAGTCAAGGTTGAAAGATACAAGAATAGATAAGTGTTTTGCACAAAGGAAATCTCGGTGGTGGTCCAGTGCAGTCAATGCCTGCAGAATGCTGTCTCTGAGGGGTTTTATTTTGCTTCTTTGAGAGAGGCTGCCATTGTCAGTTCAACTGGGGCTTCCTTGCTTCATATGGAGAACCTGGAGGAGAGTCCACAATTGCAAAAGGGTCAGAAAGAGTCAAGTTTAATGATGCTCAAGTTTTAAGTAGGATCCAGCTCCCAACCCCAACAAAGCCTCACTTGAGCGCCTCTTGGAAAAGCAACTTCCCACATCTCCAGGCCTCTGAGGCAGGACACAGCAATCTGGATTTTCATACATTTTCCTGACGATTCTGAGCATATGATGATTTGAGAACCACTGCTGTCCTTTCAGAGGGAAACAAACTCCCTCAATTTCTTTTTGACCCCACATCATTTTGGGGCCTTTTTGTTACTTTAGCTTGATGTATACCCTGACGTGACCCCTGAGGTAGGTCTGGATCTGTATTGAAAAGGAAATGTATTATCCCCAAGAATTTGTTCCTAAAATGGCAGCGAGGCATGGGGAGTGAGGATTTTAATTCTTACAGTTTCCTGCTTTGGCTGTGTCTCAGTACACACATCAAGGCTTGTTTATGAGTTACACAATTACACACTAGAAGCCCATGACAGTGAGTAGCAATGTAGTCAACTTGGGAAGAGGGGTTAAGTTGGGTTTCTGCCCATTCTAAAGTGATTTGTGGCTTGCTTGTCACGGCTTCTGTTCAAATGAAAGAAGAAGGAAGAATAAGCAGTGATCATTTAAAAATTCTTCTTTGTTCTCTTTTATAGCACCCTTTACCGGCAGAGATGAGAAAACACTTTTCATCCAGACCAGAGCTTATTACACTTTCCAAGATTCTCTGGCAATTCAGAGTCTCCAATGTCCAGGCCAGCCATTTGTTTTTAATAAAGGAATTACTGATATTCTCAGACTGGTTATTACCTGCTCTGTGTCTCAACTGTTTTGACCAGGTGCTAATGAGGCCAGAGTGGGTGGTGGGTGGGGGTGTTGAAGTCCCACACAGACCTATTAGCTTTGGCTTCTTGCAGGATGTCACCAGTCTGTGCAAGGACACTGCTCTCCACCCTACAGGAAAGCCACAGCTGCTGGTCGTGCAGGGCACAGTGAGAATGCAAGGAAAGAGCCATCCACGTGCCCTAATGGCTCAAAATGTGAATCTGAGCAGTTTGAGTCAAAATACAGCTACAAGGGAAAGAAGAGTGTGATCTCACGAAGGTTAAGGACCAGGAAGCAAGAAAGGGGCCTTGATGGGGTGGGGAGAAGCTGTATTTGAAGCTGCACCTGCTTCATTCTAGAAACTGTACAACTTTTTCTATATTTGAAGCTTCCTTCAGAACATTTAAAATATTAAGAGCTGGTGATGGGAAACCCGCCGGGATTACAATTGAGATGGAAAAAAAAATGTACAAAATGATGTAAAAATAAACTGTTATAAAATAAATAAATAAAAAATTGTGCAGGCCACTACTCACTTCCCACCAGGTTTTATACAAAGCGACTTAGAAACTATTTCAGTCCTGAGGAGTCAGTGCTGATATTGCAAAAATAAATAAATAAAATAAAATATTAAGAGCCAAAATCTTGCTGTTCTCTGATGGGATAGTCCCTTAGAAAGGAAAACAAGTTTGCACACTTCTTTCCATAACACCCGCTATGGTGAGAGTCCCAGATGTCTCTCTCAGGTCCACCCAATAAGTGGAGGGAAAATAACCTGTGGATGTAAAGAATAGAAGAAACAGGACCCGGTCCAAATCTCACATGTCACCCAAAGGCCAGCATCAACCTCCCCTGATACTCAAGACTATGGTGACATTCAAGATCATGGTTTAGGCCCCAGGGCTGACTGAAACGTGGCTCGTGCTACAGAAACCGGGGACCCAAGGTCCACCTGTTTTTTTTGTTTGTTTGTTTGTTTGTTTGTTTTGGGTGAGAAGGCTCCAGTTCAAAGAAAGATTAGACTTGAAAATTACTGGCCATAATTGCTAATAAAGTTCTGGACCTTGTTTGCCGTGATGAAACAGTCTTGGTTCATGGCACATGCACACCTTTCTTTCCTGGATTAAGAAAACATCTTTGTCATTAAAATGGAGGAAGAAGCTGAGTTTCTAACTACAGCTGTGGGCGGTTGGCAACAGGACTTGATGTTTTATTACTAAAATGGGATAGGAGAGAAGATGGGATCGTTTTTAATTTTAAGAAAAGTCCTCAGCCACTGACAATTCCTGCTGCTAATTCTAGCAAAGCTCAGCTAAGTTATTAAATATCTTTTTAGCACTCCGACAGATCTGGATTTCTAATAACTCTTCTGGTACACCTTGAATAAGAGAACTGTAAGATGTTTTCAGTTTGAGGCAGAATTTCCAAAGCACGAGGGGTGATTGATTTTGCACGTCTATGCAAAGGTGAGTCTAATACTGACTTTGCATATGACTGGGAAATATATTCAAAAGAATGAGGCTGGTGTGTGTAATCGTTAATTAGCTTGAGAAGGAATGACATAGGATGGGCTTGGGCCCTCCCTGGTGGCTCAACTGGTTAAAGCACAGCACTATGAAGCTATCTGCAGCCACTGCAGTGCAAGTTCAATCCCCTGCCAGGGAGGTGACCCACATGGCACAGCAGACCTCTCCTGACTCTCCCGCTGCTCCCCTCAGCAGTGTATTTCAATCAATCTGCCTATTGTGCTCCCCACTCTGTGTCTGGTGATTCCTCTCACCCCCTACTCTCCATGCACCTCTGACCTGTACCCCAGTTCTGCACGCAAAAATGAAAAAAATTTTTAAAAATAAAAGAAAAAAAGTGGGACTGGCTTTCTAAACTTGTAAAAGGAAGAAAAACACATAAGGAGATCTAGAGGAAAAGTAAGATCTGATTCTGCAAAGATGAGTTTTCTCAGCTGACACGGAATACTGTTAACACTGTGGTCATGCTTCTGAAGGCAACTCTTTGAAGCTGTTCCACCCTACAGCCTTCCAGAAACTTTTGAGGAGCAATTCTTTTGTAACTGCCTTAGACATTTACAAAATACTCCCCTGAATATGCTGGGAAATTTTCAATCCTTGAGGAAGGAATTCAATTTTTGAGAAATATACCAACATTATCCATAGTCAGTTTAGGGAGAATAAAGGAGTTCCAAGTGGAGATTTTTAATAATAAGGTTTTGTACATTAACCACATGGTTGTGTGTGTGTGTGTGGGGGGAGGTTTATGAATGAGTTATGAGGGTAAGTGCATTTTGATGTTTGTTAAGTCATTTTGGAGGGTGTGCGGTAGAGACCATTCTTTTTCAGTGGGAAGGCTCTGCTCTTGCACACGGAAACCCAGCAAAGTGCTTAGCCAAGAAAGGACCTGGCAGGCCAGTGGCTGAGAAGTTAATCTGGCACGCAAAGATCCCTCAGGGCCGTGTCATCCACCCACAAAGAAGGGGGCTGGTCACACACCACCTGCGATACAGGTGTGGAGAAGAGACGCTGTCTGGGCTTTGTACAAAGTCCGTACTTACTTCTGAACTGGTTTCCTTAACCAAGATTTCCTTTTCTGAATAAAGATTACCAGATTCTAGGATGCTGACTATAACATGAACTTTTCTGTTTGTCTGTTTTTTTAAATAATATAGAAGTTTATTTTTACATCATTTTGTGCCTTTTTCCATCTAGTTGTCATCCCCGTGGGCTTTTCATCACCCACTCATCCATGTGCCATCACCATACTCCAGTGCACTCCCCCCATTTTTGATCCCATTCCCCACTCCACCCTGGAAATATAGTTGTTCATTATTATTTCAGCCCCCTGGTCCCTTATGCTCCTGCTTGACAACATGAACCTTAAATCTGCACTTAGCACAGAGAAGGTGCTGAAGACCAAAGGGCAGTGAGGGAAAGCCCCCCCCCCCAAGCATGGGGCACCCGGTGAGCTAGGTCCTCAACCAAGGAACCGCCATGAGAGAGTGAAGGCAGGAGCCCCCGCTCTGTGAGCGGAAAGCACTGGATTCGCTACCAGATACAGCCAGAAGCAGGACCTGCTACTCTCACGCATCCTTCATATCTCAGATCAGTGAGGCTGCCCCTCCCCCAGCCCAAGTCTCCAACAGCAGGGGGCTGTCCAAGAGAGAAGTCGCAGGGTCCTGCCCTGGTTCCCCTCTGCTCCCTCACCTCTGAAATGGACAGAATCTTCCTCTTAAGACAGCTATGAGCATTAACTGAGAAGATGAAGGTAAACCGCTTCCCCGAGTATTTACAGTAGACTCAGTAAACCTGGTTATTGTGATGACAGTGCCCTGATTATTCTTTTGCCTTTTTTCATAAATTTCATGGTAGTAAAAGTTGATGAGACTCACGTTGTTTCAGCTCCCTTGATTGCTTCTTCTAAGGTTACTTCTTCTAGGGTTTATCCTCTCCTTCCTGTAGCAGATGATGCTATTTGGTATGACTCTTCCCTGTCCTCCACAGGATTATCCACAGGCAAGAACCAGTCGACTTTGTGTGTTTGCCAAGTTTTAAAATATTGGAATGAGAGCTGAACTAGGGAATCTTGGAACAAGCTCTAAGAAGTACGCTTTGCATGCAAACTGGCAAACAAGAGTTCTCTCCTCAGAAAACACCTGAGTAGGTCATTCTCTAGTGTCCATCCGAAAGAAACATCTGTAGACTCACAAGATTGTCTTGAATAATCTATCTCACTATCAGCATATGCTGGTAGGTTTTAAAAATCAATGCACAATTGCTAAGACAATTCCTAAACATTTTTAGAGTGGAGTTTGGAACCAACAACCTTTTGGCGTGCTAAGAAGAATAATATTTTTTGCCCAAAGAAAGGGCAGCATGGAAACCATCTAGTCATTTTCTGACTGTGTGAGTGTCAGCCCACAGTAGCAGGATGAAGGCTCGCATGTGAGGCAATTTTACTTTCTGCTCAAATTTCTCCCCACTCCAAGACTCCCAAACACCTCCCCTCCCCCACACCCCCAGACTATTTTTATACCTTTGTGTTCTGAACCTACCTCTTTAAAGGTCCTGTTATCCTCTGAATCCCAAGTAGGCTGGTCACTGCCCAGCGGCTCCCAGTGAGGAGACTGATGGCTTCTGGTTCCCTTGGCTTCCAAGAAGTGGAGCAAGTTTCTTGTGGCTTCTTCCCAGCTTACGGACTCAAGTGGTTGCTGCTTCAGATTTCCTCCCTCATAAAGGTATGGGGATTCTCCAGTGCTCTTTTTCCCCATTAAATGGCCTATAATAAAAAAAGAAGAAAGAAAACAGAACATCTCTGACGTAAACCAGGGGAATGAATGAGAAATGAAAAAGGACACCAATGATGTGTGTACTATTTGCTCTTAAATGCAGAACACTTAGCATTTTATTATTAGAAGCTAGTTCATACATACTGTCACATTTTACCCCCTGGCCAAAATGGGCAGTGTGTTGGAGGAAATTGAAATTGCGACTCAGGTGTGGCAGCATTTCAGTTAACTAGCTATGTGACCAGGGTTTCGTTCCAACGACTCAATTAACTAGCCAGGTGACCTCTGCCAAGTCATTTAGCATCTCCAGTCTTCACTTCTATCAACTATAAAATGAATAGGTTAGACTAGGTGAAATTGAACGAATCTTTCTTATCAAAAATCCTGTCACCAATTCTGTGTGCACAGAATTCTATTCCCAACTGAATGGTGAAATTAACCTCCCCAGTCAATTGTGAATTGCTACCAACATCAAAGGGATGATGCTTTTCTTTGTGTTTTAAAAAAAAATAAGGATTACTTTCCTCTTAAGGTAATACAAATATATCAAAGGAAAATTTTATTTAACCTTTCTCAGAGTTTTAGTTGTGATTGAGTCAGAGAAATGCCACCTAGAAATTACAGCCTGTTAAGCATATAGTTGCAAACAAGTTCTGACCAACATTTCTCAGCCACATGGGTGTAGAGCAGTCTCTTAGATATTGAAAACCACCAGGGGAAGTCTCTACGTGGCTCCAGAGGTGGCCACCTGTCATACCTGCTACCTGTAAGCAAAATCTGCGGTGCAGAATGCCTTGGCTAAAACCAAGGACATTCATGTGTTTAAGTGGGCATTGCCCTGGCACAAGAACACAAGGTTCGGGCCCTCCCTGGTGGCGCAGCGGGTTAGAGCACAGCACTGAGAATCTAAAGCCGCTTCCGCATGAGTTCGATTCCCGCCTGCCCCGGAGGTGACCACACGGCGTGGCAGACCTCTCCTGACCCGCCCGCTGCTCCCCTCAGCAGTGTACTTCGTCGATCTGCCTGTTCTGCTCCCCACTCTGTCTCTGGTGAATCCTCTCACCCTCCGCATCTCTGGCCTGTACCCCAGTTCTGTATGAATAAATAAATAAATCTTTAAAAAAAAAAAAAAGAACACAAGGTTCACATTCACAGCTGGGCACCAGCCTATTCACATGATAGTGTTTATTTTTGTTAGCTCATTTCTCCCAACTCTGCCATGGGTCTTATAGCACGTTCATGTTTCTAACATAAATAGAAGTGTGGTGCTATGGGTATAAAGTTCACCGGGCGAGAGTCAACAGTGATGCCACTGTTGACTGATATTACAAGTAATGAAGTCAAATGTTAAATCCTTGTACAAGTGATGTGGGAGTTACAGTTGATAGGCCTTTGTCACTTAAAATGGCCACTTCCCTGTGGCTCTGTTGCCTGTGACTTTACTACTGGATGTGTATTGTAGGGTATAGTGTGCAGGTTGTTTAGTTGTGGGTTATTTCATTTGATCTGCACCCTAACCAGCTTGATGAAAATGAGATTTGCCAAAGGTCACAGACATGTGAGCAAAGATTCTAGGATTAACATCAGCGCACAGTCAAGACTCTACAATGTTACACTGTTTTGACGAGTCTGATCATCCGAAGACTACAGGGTAGCCAGAAATCATTCTGGTCCTGCCAGTAAGGAGCAGTAAAGACTATAAAAGTCTCTCTAATATCTACATAAATAAAGATAGATCATGTATCAGTATATCATGACTCATTATGTGACTCAGAAAAATGAGTTCTGTGAGTATTGGGAAGCATGAAAATGACATCTTACCGCCTTGCCGTGAACACTTGTAAGTCACTTCCAACATGATGCTTCACACTGCCAAGACCCTATTGAGGCCACTGTCCCAACCGAGGTTTGAATCCTGAGTGAAGGGCTCCCCACTTATCTGCCAGGTCAACTTGGTGCCCGGATATCCACTAAATAACCTTGCATTTAGCCATAAGACTGATTAGGTTGCACAGCTTCCGGGGAAGACATGAAGCATTTGGCTATATTTATAAGGAGGAAATTGAATCATGATGATGGAAAAGCAGGATTAGAATCGATGCTCCCAATGCATGAATGACCTCGGTCACTTTTGCCCTCCCTAATAAGTCATCATCTGGTTCAGATGCTGGAAATGAGCAAGGGGTTGTTGCCAAAGAAATGGGTGGAGGGGGGTGGCAATGAGGATGTTTTTTTGTAAATAATTTCATTTTTACCATTTCTGAATACTTTTGTGATTTTGTTCCGAGGTGGGACGGTAAAGGAGTCCTTTATGATTAAACACGGGTCTTTATGTTAATGCAGTGTACTGATGTCAGTGTTTGCCTATTGGGTGGGGTGGGAGGGTTGTTCAGATGCCCATCCCCAGATCTACAGACTGGAAGTAAGAAAAGTGGGCTGCCATTGGCTTCCCAGAGAAGCGCAATTCCCCTAAGTCCTATTGCACTTTGCAGTTGGCTACTGTCAACCAACATTCATCTCCATGGTAACAAGGCTACTATGCCCACTTGCACCTCTTCTCCCATCGCCACTCATTATGTGGCCATATTCTAACCATGGAGAGCTCAGCATAGACAAAAGCAGGCACTTAAAAACCTTGCCCAGAGGGAAGAAAGCTTTTGTCCTTTCTAACAACTTCAATCCCACTAAAACTGGCAGTTTTGAAGTAGAAATGCATTTCCTTCCACTCAAAACTTGAAAATTACTGTAACTTAGGAAAAGATCCATTAAGACATAAGTGGTGTGTACTTCTAAGAACTAGTTTTTCTGGAGTCAGGCTTCAACTACGCTTCAGTTTCTGAAGAAGCATGAAACAGAAGCCCTTGCTGACCTGAGCACTGGCTGGTCCGGAGTTCACCGGCAGGTCCTCTCCGCACCGCATTTCTTAGGCGTGTGATAGGCGTTGACGTAGTTTCATGACGCAAACAAAGCATTTGCACCAGCTTCTTTCAGTAGGAGAAACCACTTAACACACCTGGAAATTTGTGCTGACTGCTTCCTCATGGACACCAATGGGTAGTTTCAGTTTGATCGAGTTAAAACTAGACTGTCTGTCTTCCGGAATTGGGAGGAGAGCCATTTACTTCCACTAGGGGAAAACGCAATTTAAAATCTGATACCCGGCCCTCCCTGGTGGCGCAAGGGGCTAGGGCCCAGCACTGCAAGCTGGCTGCAGCCACTTCAGTGCGAGTTTGATCCCCACCCCGGAGGTGACCCACATGGCGCGTCAGCCCCCTCCTGACCCGCCTGCTGCTCCCCTCAGCAGTGTACTTCATTGATCTGCCTGCTCTGCTCCCCACTCTGTCTCTGGTGAAGTCTCTCACCGCCCCTGCACCTCTAGCCTGTACCCAGGTTCTGTATGCATAAATAAATCTTTTAAAATTGAAAAAAAAAAAGTGATACTACACTTCAAGCTAGCAAAGGTGCATGTCCCAAAGGAGGGCATGACCGAAGCACGCTTTCTCTCCACTAAGCCGTTCCCTTAAAGCCAGTGTAGTATTCCAAGTCACCTCCTTGTCCCTTTCTTCATCAACTGCCCGCCAGCCAAGGGAGGAAAAGGAACACCGGTGTGGTTGAGAGCAAGTGGGGAATGAGCCATTTGAAGCTGCTGCCCACCACTGTATTCTGGGGTGAAGAACACCCGAACACGGTACCCCAAATACCTCAGGGCACAGGTGCCGGGCACGGCACACAACAGGTGGGGCTGGCTTGCATCAGAAAGCTCCCAGCTGCTTCTCCTGTGTGTCCCCTTCGCCCCCCACCCTCCGCCTCCCAGCAACCGGATTTGTACTAAAGCTTTTGAGTACAAAAATGGGCCAGAGATAAAAGACTGGAGACCTGGAGTCGCATTGCACCCTCCCAGCTCACTGGCTGGTGGCTGGAGTGGACAAAGGCCACTTGCTCCAGCTCCCAGAAGCCCTATGAGGCACCCACTCTTGGTTTCTCTTTTGAAGTAAGGGGAGGGGGGTGGAGGGAGGCTGTTTCATCTTCACCATCAAACCTCTCCTCTCTGCCGGGTCCCGCCTTCTCAGAGATCACAAGTACTTCCATCCCTGGTGCTGCCAACACCTGGCAAACACTGTGGCACCCCTGAACCCTGGACTCTGACAAGCACAACAAACACACTGAGCTGAAGATGTGGAGATTCATGACTGTGACCTAGCCCTAAATCCTTCCTCACCTGAAGACGGAGAACCTGTGAATCGGATGCATATTTGAATTTACTAGTCTCTTCTCAACACAATCCCTCACTTCTAAGGAAACACACACACACACACACACACACACACATCTCTTCTTTATAGATCGATCAGCTTCCAGAAAGCGCTGGGGGTTGCTGCGGTTGAATAGAGCGGGAGGGTTGGACGCGGAGGAAGTTGGGCGCTTTGCATTTGCGGGTGGCTGAGCCTGCAGAGCGGGGAGCTCCCGGGGACGCTGGGGAGCGCGAGGCTGCCGGGCGGCCAGCCGCCTCCTAATTGCGGGAAAGCTGTGGCCGCGCTGGGACTTCCGGGACCCGGCGTTGCCCGACCAGCGCGCGTTCGATTCCTGAGCCCCGACCTCCGCATCTCCGAGCCCCAGCCTGGGAAGCGGGGCGTGCTGGCCGAGGGGACAGGGCGAGGTCGCGGGTGTAGCGAGGCCGAGAAAGAGCGCGGACTCGGGACCCGGAGCGCCGGCACGCCTTGGGGAGCAGGCGACATTCCCGGAGCGTCCAGCTGCTGGGAAGCGAGGCGCTTGGGCTGAGGGCAGAGGGCCGAAAATTCGCTGCCAAGGCCAGAGGAGGACTGAGAGGCTTCAGGTGAGCCACGCAGAGGCAGAGCTCGCCCGCGCTGCGCGGACCCGAGAGGGGGAGCCGGCCCTGGCTCCCCCACCTGTGGCGTTCCGGGGCGCAAAGATGCAGCCTGGTCTCCAGGGCTCGGGGCCGTGGCCGCCGGGCTGCGAGACGCCCTGGGGACCCACCCCGGCTCCCGAAAGTTGTTCTGGGAGAGAGCCGCGCCGCTCGGGGCTGACATTAGGGGCGCCGGGAGACGTCGAGCGGTGGGGTAGGCGGCGACGCTCCAGCGGAGGCCGCGGGTGTCCGAGGGCGGCGCGCTGGCTCGGGTGCCCGGGGCAAGAGTGAAGAGAGCGCGGAAAGGCGGAGGGGGCGGCGGCCGCCGGGGTGGGGCAGGGTGGAGTTTCAGGAGAGTCGGACTGGTGTCTGCGCGCGGGTGTGGGCGCCCACCCAGCCCCGAAGTCCGACCGCAGGAGCGCGCGGGGTCCGGAGAGA